CCTCAGCCAGATTCAATCAATCAAGATCTGGAGCCCCGGGTCTTCAACTAGGAACACAGGAGTCTCGTTTTATTCAGAAGGTAAAAAGTTCGCAGAGTTATGCCAGGATTGCTTCAATAAAAAGTGCAAGCATAGAAAGTATAAACAAAAATCCAAAATGCATTTTAAGTAATCTACATTTAAAATACTTTAAAATTCTGGTCTTTTAATGTAAATAGTAATATGTAAAAATAATTGGAATATCCCATATTTAACTACCAAAATCACTTTTAAAAAAGATTTCCTGAATTATCAGTGCTACCCCACCCTTACTCATCCAATCTTACTACTTCCAGACCCCACAACCAACCAGCTTAGCCGTCAGGTTAAAGAACAGAAAAAGTATTGAATTAAGTAAAAATAAATAAATAAATCCAAATACCCACCATTTAATTGTATACTTGAGGTTTGGTTGACTGACTGTGCTATCATCTAGGAAAATGGTAGAGCAGGAGCTGTATTTCCTTGCTATTTGTCCTGGAGGATGCTAGAAGACAACAGCAACAAGATTACGACAATTACACAGGGTTCAGAATTCTTCCAGGAAACATCACCCCCTTAACTTGAGATAAGACCACAGAGGAAAAACGTCTTAGCAAGAAATGTCAACATTACCACCAAGAACAATACAAAAACTTTATTCATAAAATGAACTTCCTCGCTCTTCCATATACAAAAGTCACCATGACACACCTAGTCCCTAACTTTCTGCAACAGAATTACAGCAAACTCTTGCAATCAAGCATCAAAAAGTATGTTTCAGAGTCCACAAAAATCACCTGCCCCACGGCTTGCATGAAACATGGGATCTACTGGCTCACTACACTAACAAAAGCCTGAAATTTAGGTGGTGGCCTGGTTTTATGCGCTAAGATCAAGGTAAGTGTCCACTGTACCCATTTTCCTTACTCTTGAAATACAATTGATTTAGGGGCCATAGAAAATGCACCCAATGTTAATTTAGAATCTCCTGGTTCATCTGCTTGAATTTCAGCAGGTAAAGTTATTAAAAAAACAACTTATTCCCTTGTTAAGGACAAAATAACTTTTAAAGGGGAAGATTATCTGACACTCTTGAAAATACAACCAATGAATGACCTTTAAGTAGTTGCTGGTGTGGTCTTATGACTGGTTCTTTCATAACTGTATCAGTTTTGAGCTCTTTGGAGAACATTAGAATAGAATTACTTCTAGAAGGTACTGGCAAAGTAAACAATTTATATTATACACTGATGACAGCTAGTTGAACACTAAATGGACTTCTGGAAACAGTAGGACAATATGATTAGTACACATCAATCTGGATAGCTCCTGATCAAAAGCAAACTAGAAAAAAAAATTAAATTATGCAAACAAGTTTCCACTTACCTGATGCTATGCTGAAAATATCTAAGTGTCATTTTTCAGCAACAAAAAAGGAAACCAATCCCTTGGGAATCACAAAATCATCTGCTTGACCTGCCTGTCTGCAACACACCCTGGGTATACACAGGTCAGGAATTTAGTAAAGGAAGCCTCAAGGTTAGAGACCAAATGCCCTGTTCAATATCTGAAAATGTATTTCCCATTTAATAAGGTTTCCTCAGTAACAAGGTAAGGAAAATGTGAAGCAGCCTGAGAAATATGTAAACAATGTTATAAACAGAATCTCTTCTCAAACCTAGATAAGAAATGACACTAGTTACTTCTTTGGGGATCCAATTTCTATAATCACAGCTAGGGGACACTGTACTGCTGAAGCATCCTGACCTCGGAGCCCTGATCTCACATCAACAGCAGCACAAGGGGTCAGAAGGAAAGAACCACAACCAGGAAATCCAGGAGGTAAGGCCTTTCCCCAGAGTTCTCTCCTTAGGCTCACACTCTTAAGTGCCTGTGTGGGGACAGGACATAGAAAATGCTTGTGAAATTTAAGTCTCAAGTCAAATGTCAGTTTTCACATGGCATTTAACATCTATCAAATGAATCAAAACGTTCCATTAAGACAATCCAGGCACTAAAAATAATTCTCTTCCCCTTTGTAAGCTCTTGTAGCAACCACATGTGCGTCATAAAAGACATACTGAAGCCTCAGACCCTGATAAAAGCTATTACTATAGGCTGTAAACCAATAATGCTTAGGAAATTTTCCCTACAGATGTAAAATCTACAAACAAAAATCTAAGTTGAAAATAGATCTTATATTTAACATTAAAAGCCAGGAATTAATCAAATTTTTTCCAGTGTTAATTTTTAGAGCTATGGGATAACTTTAGAAATCCCAACAGTGAAGGAAAAAGACAGTAATATTTCATTTTTGTTTCTTGTGGAGTTTCAGCTGTTTCCTCTGATGCAAACTCCTTCCAGATTAAAATGTCATGGGACTTGGAAAGAATAAATGGTTTCCCTGAGAAAATGTAAGCCATGAAGTCAGAAAAAGAAGACTTGATGCACATGGGTGAGGATATAGACAATGTCCCCTCATAATCTAGGAAGTGACCTTTGTGAACTTATGTGCCCGACACCCCTGTGTGTGCACCATCCCTAAGGCTCAGAGGGTTAACTCCAAGCCAGCTACACAAAGGGACCCTGCCCTGGCCTGAGAACTGCCCCAGCTGCAGGTCTGAGCACCTCAGAACTAAGGGCTGATCTGCCAAAGCTCTCAATCCCAGGGGAATGTCAATTCAGCTTTCAAACTATTTAACAACTTTGAAACTGAATAAAAATCCCAAGTATTAAGTGATGAAGATTTTGGTTTCAGAGTATCTCAACACTCCACATACCATTTAGGCCCTAAATCATCTGTTGACTATAAGGACTACAAGACTCATAGAGTGTGAACTTCTCTTGATCTGAACCCCACATCTAAAAAGCTGAAATAACTGTAATCCTTCCACCAGAAACGCTCTTGACCCTAGAACTGTCTCTGTTTTTTGTTGTGAACTGGTCCTCTCAGGGTGAGGCAGAGGAAAGACGCAACACCTGCTGTGTGGCGCCATCCAGCAACTGACTGATGCCGGGCCCCTGGAAGCAGCAGGGGAGCATCCCTCACAGAACAGAGCATGCTAATTCGACGGTTTTAATAAGCACGTGTGTGTCAGATACTTCTCAGTGTTACTCAAAATGTCTCGTTAATGTATTGCTCTATGAGTCTGAAAAATTGGTATGCTTGTACGTGGGCGTGCCTGAGCACACACAGACCCTCCCACTTAGGTTCCCGTCTTTGCCAGGAAATGACACGGCAAAGTGATGCGATGGAGAAACAGCAGGGCACGACTGGTAGTTAACCTGACTTGGACATAACTAGCTGCATGGCCTGGGCAAGTTACCTGGTCTCCCTCTCTGCCCCTCAGTTTCCTCAGCTGTAAACCAGAGATGAAAATGACAGCCCTTCCCTCATGGGGCCATCACAGGAGTGCCTGAGTTAGTATTTGTAAAGCACATTCAGCAGGGCGAGCATGTGGGAAGCACCTGTAATAATCGTTCAGTAGAAACTGCATTAAACAGGTCAACAAAGCAATAGGGGTGTTTTTTATGCCTAATGCCTACAACATTTTGGAAAAACATAAAAGGAAATGTCTAACGCAATGTTTTACCTGCAAAGGATGGGCATCACCCTCTAGACAACTCAGAAAGATTGTCCCAAAAATAACAAGTGTGTCGGTGAGAGGACAGATACTACAGAGTCAACCACGAACTGATTAGAAGGGGAGCCTGATGAGTGAGAAGCCCGATTACAAATTATTCTAAAGAAATAAAATTTGTATCTTTGAAATAACATGAACCTTACAGATTACATTATGAATATGTAGAACAACAGAATTTTAGAGCTAGACTGAGGCAAGGTCATTTAGTCCACCTATTCACAAAATGTTTATAGTGCAAAATATGACTCACATCAAGGTCCACTAATATACAAAAACTGTTGAATGATATATTTAAGAAGACTTTACTGAAGAATTATCATGTGTCCCAAATAATGAGATTATCCACTTAGAAATTCCAACACTGATGTCTGTCAGATACAAAGATACATGGTATGCACACGTACACGCACAAACACATGATCGAAGCACAGGATGAAGACGAGTAAGAGGAAGGCTAAGACGTTCACTGGACCTTCCACAACGACCCCCAATTTTTCTCCCAACTATTTCAACTTTTCCTACCCATGACACCTCCTCAAATCTTCCACCCATCACCATGCTGAGCTCCCCACAGGGAGTTCGAATCACAGAACCCAGAAGTCACCGGGCAGCACCCCCTCACGTGAGCTTCTTGCTGCTTCTTCTAGGCAAATCTGTCTTAACTTCCCCCTACCTGGAGTAGAAGCCCTAACTCTCTCAAGGCCAGAACTAATTAGTCCCTCTGCTTCTTCAAAATATCTTTCTGAATTGGCTCGCCCTCCACACTTTCTCGCAATTCACAAAAACCTCTAAGTTTGCTATGCAGATGGGTCCTCTGCAGTCCTCCAACTAATATGATATTTGAACGGAAGCTTTTTCTTTCTGGGATTTCCTCCTAGCTTTCCCCCATCTTTCTGGCTACTCGGTCTCAGTCGCTTTGTGAACTCTGCTTCTCCCAATTTCACTGGATGTGACGGTCTTTTCTTTTTCGTCTAAACACTTTCCCAGGGGACCCTTACCCACTTTCACTAATTCAACTTCCTTCGCTCTCTGATGAGTCCCAAATCCCTCCTCTCTCGCCCCAACTTCTCCTGAGCTCACTACTGCCTGGTCGACCCCGCCATCTCCATGTTTTTCATAGGCACCTCAAATGCCAAACTAATTTGTTCCTCTAATCTGTAATGACTTAAAACTAGAAATCCATAAAATATTCTTGAATCTTATTTTCCTTTCTGTTGATCTCCTTGCATCAAGTGCTATCGATCCTACATTTCAACATCCTCCTCTTCCCTGCACGCCTCTAGCCAGTATCTGGCATATGAACACAACGTGGACTTTCACCTGTGTCACTGCAATAACCACCTTGCCTCCAATCTCGCTCCTCTTCAAACCATTCTTCTTCAAGTGCCACTGTCACCTTAATGCAAAGCAAATCAGATCATGTCACCTCCCTGCCTAAATGGTTCCAAGGTTCTCCACTGGGGAGAGGCACATGAATCAACTCTCCATCTCTCCAGGTTCACTGTTCACTTCCTCCTTCCCTGCACACCACACTCAGACATAATTCAAAGATGAAATGAACAACGGCCACTTTTATTTAACGGCCATCAAGCATGAGCCCACAGTGTTCTCGGTTACTTTACATGTATTCATTTAGAGCTCACAAGCACTTAGAGCCCTGCAATGCAGGTAGAATTCCCATTTTACAGATAAGGAGATCAGAGAAACAAAGCAGCATCTCCAACACCAAATGTAAGACACCAGAGCTTAAAGCCATGTTTGTCTGACTCCCAAGTCCGTGTCTTCCTCCCTGGGGTTCTGCAGCTCTTCCCTTGAGCTGTTCTCTCCTAACCCTTCTTGTACAATACCCTAAAGGCCTTTT